AGGAAACACTCGGCAGAGGAACCGTTGGTCTGAATGATACAGGGACATTATTTGCTTGTATTGCCTGAAGTGGGCTTCGGGATCGGACCACCCGTCATAAGTTTTGAACCTCGGCACGATGAACTTTTTTGGAACCTCCATCTCTCTGATATCCCTGGTAAAGGGTGTTTGTATGACCTCGTCTTCGACCTCATCCTAGACAGCCTTACTCTTTCTCCTGAATTCCAACCGGGCTCTGAGATCAATTTTCTCCCCAACGGGATGTCTTCTGAAGTCTCCGAGTTCATCAATAGGTCCCCTATTTCCTGGGCGTCGTGTGGATAGGGTTGAATCCTCCTCGGACTCATCTCCTTTCCTCCGTCTTGACAATCCTCGCCGGAGGTCGTCCAAGGCTAAAGGCCTTGCCTTCCTGGAATGGTCGTTAAGAGGGTGCTCGTTGGCTCTTGGTCGCTTTGGGGCCCTGAAGCTTTCTGCCTTGTTGTTTAAATGATTCCTTAGATCCTTCGTTTTCGCCTCTAGGAGGGGAGTCCACAAGAAAGGAATGAGTCCCTCGACCCTTCGCCGGAGGCGGCGAATTCGTTGAGCCAGCTTAGGACGTTCACATTGTCCTTTTCCAACTATCGTAATCGATCCCCAAACTTTTCTTCGATCACCTCCGCCAGTTGACGAGCCAAGGGGGCGAATCCTCCTGACTTGATGCCCATACTGGTTTGAGAAGTAAGCCCTCTTGACTGAATAGAGGCATTTCTATTCCCATCAGTGTGATCCCTCCCTCCATGGTGACATGGAGCTCGTAATTCAAGAATTCTTTGCTGGGGACCTTTCCCTTTTTGTCGAGTATTCACCGTGATCACTGTTCTTTATAGAGAAGAAACTAGGAAAACTAGTCGTTTTCCACAGACGGCACCAGATTGTGCGGGCTGGATCTTGCACAATATAAACACGAGAACAGATATCTCCCTTGGTGAACTTGAGTGAGTCAGTCGAATGGTCAACCCTACTGCTTGGAACAGCCTCTGAGGTTCGATGGTAGCCTGGAACGATAATGGGAGACCCTCGTGGATCAACAGAACAATCCAGTAAGGCTGAGGAAGGTTTCTAGAACAAAGAAAGACAAGTTAGAAGGGTACTGGAGTATTTTTTGGCGTATCCCTTCCGACGATCAAGTCAGTTTTTGAGAGAAAGGAAGAAGAAAATACTGAGTATAAGTTTGAGAAAAGGTTTCACGTTCTTTCCTTTTTCCCCCATCTTGCCTTTTGTGAGGAGTATTTATACCTCAAAAACTCATGATTGCTGTCAGTGTGGTCAGTAAGTGATCATTAGATACGGACAACGTGCGCACTGATTCCTATGAGGAATGTCTTCTCTTTTAAATGCTCGGGATCCCGAGCAACCAGGGCTATGTCATCAGCCTGCCGACTGTTTAATGAGATCCTCTCGGCAATGATGTAATAAATGTCCAGCCTTAGGGACATTTATTACCTTTCACTTCCGAGCCTTATCGCATTAAATGTTGTCTCATCAAGGGAATGGTGTAATTAAATGTTTGCTTTCCCAAGCCGTGTGGGCATCCGGTCTTTTTGTCTCTGATGTGACACATATGCCACGCTTCCATTCCCCATTGGTTGTGTACCCTACCTTCTTGTGCCTTCTGACACCAATTATGTAAGACGAGGTCATGATGGCTAACCTAGTCTAGCCTAGGCTAGTGACCTGTACATCAATACCCTTTGCAGGAGCAGAGAACGTCATCCTGGACGGGTACATCTCGGTACCGAGAGAGAGTGGTACATGTAGGGACCGATGTACCATATCCGACCCGAGGGATACGTGTCAGTACATAACGTACTGGGTGTCATTGATCCCCATGAACAGTACCTCGGGGAAACAGGGACTTGTGATCCGATGGGTGCGTATCGTGATTATAGTAAAAGAATTTACTGATGCCGAGAATATGTGTCTTCATCTTGAAGAACTTGGAAATGTCTCGTCACTTTGTTTTTTCTTTTTTAAACTATTGTTTAAATCATGTTCCTGCTTTTACAACCTGCCACTCAAAATTCTGCGAGTGCATCTTCATCTGGAGATGGTCCCTCGTCATTATTCTCTGATGTGAAAGGGTTTTTTCTCTTCCGTCTATCCTCACTCCATCACTCAAGTTGGGTCCTAGATCCATAATTTGAAAGAGCATTTTCCAATTTGAAATGAATCGAGGTTTGGCGATGGAGATTGCATAAAGTGCCCTAGACTTGTTATTGGATGAGCTATTGGATCGAATTTAGGCAGCTCTTAGTCTATCTGTTTCTCCCCTGCTGACTACGAAAAATTGTCAAGTCTTTGTTCAACTTGTTGATGAGCTTCTTGGACTTCTTCAAGAAGTAGACCCACTGTACCAGAAATGGCAAGAATGCCACGAAATTCTTGATGCCCACTAGGTTTTGTTGGTTGATTTGAAAAATAACCTGAAGAAATTTGACGGCTTCTCTGCTCGATAGACTAAAATCTTTGATGCAATCAGACTTCCATTATCTAGTGTTGATATTGATCGTGTTATTAACTTTGATTAAGTTACAATCTGAAGGTTTCCTAGTGGTAATTGAAAACTAAAGGAGAATCTCAAGCCCTTTGATAGTATTTCCCTGCCTTGTAATCGAATGAAACACATCAATGAGTGGGGCGAGATCCCACTCTAGCTTCCATGCAATCCCCATTGCGAAAATATGAGTTTGGATTTTGAACAAGTGGACAACATTGCTTGGCAAGAAGAGCTTATGGTGTGATTCGTCATAAACAAATACCATTTCTTTACCTGTATTTTATGGTGAATTAGATTATTTTGGAGCAATTACATGAATTATCCCTTGATATTATGATTTGACTGGTTTTTTAGTGTTTGATTCATTTACTATGGTGAATTGAGCTGAATCAACATAATTGGTAAAGTGACCAGTAAATTGGACAGTAAAGTCTAAAGGTCAATTCTGGTGGAAGGAGGTCTAAGCCTACATAACTAGGTGCGTCCGGACACACCTATTTCGTTCGGACGCAACCATTGATGTTCCTTGAAATTGAAGACACTTTGGAATTTGACGATACGGACTACCTTCTTCTGGACACAGTAAGCCCATTCGGACGTAATTGTGAAGATGCAATTTGAGTTTACCGTGGGCAGCCCACTCCCCAATCCTACCATTATCAAAAACCATCACTCAAAATAATTCTCTTGCACGTATACTGACTAGTCCTACAAAATAGACACTCGGGGGGGTACATTTCGTGGGTTCATCTTACTGGACAATCAAAGCGCTCATATTCTGGGGGTTCAACTCAACGTAAAATCTGCTCAAGGTTAATAAGATTAGCTAGGACTTTAGATGGGTTAAAGAATTCAAAATTCAATCTATGGGTCCCGCTTAGTTTTTTTTTTTTTTTTTCATTTTTTGAAGTTGAATTAGTTGTATTTTTGATGAAATTGAACAGATGACGTTGAAATTGAGTGACTGATTTGTGGAATTAGATTAAAATTAGTTGTAATTTGGCACATTGTTCATTAAAATTTTGTGGGAATTAAATTAGTAATTGACTATAACTTTCTCTGCTAAAATTCTATCCTTATCGGATTAGACTGGAATAATGGATCGGATGTCCGTTAATAATCAAATTTGGATTTGGGTTAGTACGTTCGATCATAAAAGAATTCGGATTTGGATTAAGCTTTTATATTCATCTGTCATATTTGGGTTAGTCCAAATTTGATCTGAATCTGATCCGTTTACATGCCTACCTCAACTAACTAATTATGTGGACTTGATATTTCTAATTGGTCGAATTGCACTTTGTACACTAAAAAATTTTAAATTTTTTATTTTACATCTTCAAAAATTAAATTTTCTATATTACACCCTCAATGTATCAAAAGTGTTGTAATGTGATTTTTCTGTTAGTTTTTCGCCAGTATCAATAAGTTGGTTTTTAACAGAAAAAAAAACGGAAATATCACATTATAACACTTTTGATAAATTAAGGGTTTAATATAAAAAATTTAATCTTTAAAGGTATATAGTGAAAAACTTAAAATTTTTAAAGGTGCAAAGTATGAAAAACCCTATTTAATAAGACTATGAGATGAAAGGCATCATGCATTTGTGTTTTTAACTTGACAAGGTGCAAAATAATAATGATATGTAAAAGAACAAAGTTGAATGGTTTAAAGTTTTTTGGTTAAATAATAGTGATGAGATTCAGATCCTGATATCCAAATTGAGTTTGGCTGTAAACCAGTAAGCAGCCAACAATACATTACCAAATTAATTTTGCCCCTCTCCCATTTATTAGGGCGAATTGCATTTTGTACCTTTAAATGATTTCAAAATTCTTATTTTATATTCTCAAAGATTAAATTTTTTACATTACACTCTCAATGTAACAAATGTGTTATAATTTGACCATTTTATTAGTTTTTCATTAATTTTTCTGTCAGTGTCACTGGGTTAGTTTTTAATGAAAAAAATAACGGAAACTAATAAAATAGCAAATTATAATATTTTTAATACATTGAAGATACAATATAAAAAATTAATGGTGTAATATAAAATATTTAATTTGTAAAGGTATAAAGTGAAAATCTTTAAATTTTTCATGGTACAAATTGCTAAAAGCCCCATTTATTATTAGCTGTTAACAAGCCCAAAATACATCCTAACAGACAATTAGACCAAAACTGACCTAATAAAACACCCTATTTAGAGTTAATACACTGGGCAAGTCCTTATTTACACCCTCTGTGGTTTAGATTACTAACTGTCAGAATACAGCCTTAACAATTTATAAATGCTAATATCTATAGATGAAGGTCTGGCGTTTTAACCTTCTTTTACAACCCATTTGCCAACTCTTTTACAACCCGTTTTAACCTAATTTGACTGTCTGTTGGACTAGTTAGTTTCTTGAAAACTTCTCTCTCTACACCTCTCTCTCCTCACCAGCATATCAACCATTAGGTCCATCACAAAATAATCATGTAAACATCACCACAACACGTTCGAAGATTGTAATAATTGATTCTCCATTGTAATATTGATTTATCGATTTAAACCCAACAAAAAAAGCCAGAAAGAGATCAAAAGACAAGGGGAGAGAGAGAAAGACATGGACGCCAGGGTAAATGATGCAAGCAATGAGGCAGCTCTAGAAGAACAACAGCAACCTCTTTTGGAAGATCCACCAGCCGACCGAAAACCAGCGAAGACGCCAGCACAAAAGGGCATTCGAAAGACTTTCAAAGGAACAGCCCTTTTGGCCAATCATCTCCCCACAGGTTCAGTCCTGGCATTCCAAATTCTCTCTCCCGTTCTCACACATGAAGGCAGGTGTCTCTCCATTGTAAGCCAATCCCTGACTTTATGCCTTATTGGCCTTATTGGCTTCTCGTGTTTCCTCGTTTGCTTCACCGATAGCTTCCGGGATGGAAGAGGAAAAGTCCGGTACGGGGTGGCCACCGTCCGGGGGCTGTGGGTCATCGATGGCTCGGTCACCCTCCCACCGGAGGAAGCAGCTAAATATAAGCTCAGGGTCATTGATTTTGTTCATGCATTCATGTCTATACTGGTTTTTGGGGCAGTGGCACTGTTTGATGTAAATGTAATCAAGTGTCTTTTTCCGGAACAGTCAGAGTTTGCTAAAGAGCTACTGACAACACTGCCTGTTGCGATTGGTGTGATTTGCAGCCTGCTGTTTGTTGCTTTCCCTACCACTCGACATGGGATTGGTTTTCCTCTCTCTCGCAAATAGTACTCGATCGTTCTTTTCTATATCTATCATTTTTGTGCTCAATCTTATTGTCTATGGGAAGAAAAATTACAAAGATCAAATTTGGAAGAAAATTTATTGAAAGTGTATCCGATTCCATACGTGTCTACTCTGATTCTTGTGAGCTCAAAAAATGGGTTTCATTCTAATACCATTTTCTCGCATCACCATGTAGGCATCCTAGTATATATATTGCCTTATTTTTTTCAAGATTTTTATTAGGGTTAATGGCACGTTTGATCTTTAAATTATGTATTTTTTGTCAGTTTAATCCTTAATGTATCAATTTTATCAATTTAGTTATCAAAGTTTTCAATTCATGTTATTTTAATCCCTACATTGACAGATTGCTAAATTTTTTGACGGAAGTGATCGCATGTTATTTTTTTCAACGGGTAACACGTGATCATTTCGTCAAAAAGTTTGGAGACTAAAATGATACGAATTGAATCCTTTAGAAACCAAATTAACAAAATTAATACATTAAAAACTAAACTGACAAAAAAATATATATTTTATAAACCAAAAATACTATTAACCATTTTATTATAACGGGTATGAGAGAGGTAAGTATACTACATAAACTTTGTGCAATCCCATTAAGAATTCAAACTACCAAGGCTGGATTAGCTATCTTCTCTTGAAATTAATGTGATAGCACTTCCATGGATACAGGAGAAAAGGGTGAAGATTCATCCATGGCCTCTAATTAAATCTAGAAAAAAATAATTTCAGAGATAGTTTAAGTGGTAATAAAGACGAATTATAAATTTAGACCTCATAAGTTCGACTCTTGATAATCTTTTAAGACCAAGTAATGAGGGATTTATCTTTTATAAATATTCTAATTCCGGCATAAATGACTTATTTGTAAGCTAACCGAAGAGAGAATTAACCGAAATACGCATAAACCGATGATGCATTTATGTCTAAATTTTGATCATTTCGTGAGAGACAGATTGTTTAACTTTCTTTCTTTTTCTGTGGTGCGATATGCCGTGAAGTCCGCATTCACCATTTCTTTACTGTGCAAGGTTAAATGTGGATATGGACCTCTTTCTCCACTACATTTCTGCTCAATGTTCTGCAGTGGTTTATTAACACCCATGAATAGAACAATTTTATTGTTGCATACCAAAAATAAGAGAAAATATACCAAATAGGTCTAGATGGGTGACATTCTTCTTTTTAAGCTTCCAAACTAAAACTTGAAAAAAACTAAATATTGTTGGAAAAAATAGAAACCGAGAGATAAAATGTATGGCAAGGTGAGGCCCGCGTTAGGTCACTCTCTGAAGACGATTCGTGCTGTTTTATGAAAAAACACAGCATAAAAGGTAACAACGCGTTGTTTTCAAAAAACAACAACCTAACATATTGATTGTTGTTTCACTCAGATCACATTTCAATTTTGCCCACAAACTTACGTAGTAGAGTAGAATATAGTAGATATTCCGATTGTATATTTCTATACTGATTTATGCAAATATATAAATAGAAAATATAGGTGTTTAATATTCCGTAATTACTCTCATATTTAATCAGATAGTAACTATGAAAATTAAATAAAAAATAATTGTTGGAAAAGTAGCCTTTAGAACCTTTGGTATTCTTCGCAAACCGGGTGTGAACTATACTGGTCAGTGTTACGTAAATATTAGAAATCTCTTCTGCTTGTCTCACCCTTGCGCACGTGAGAACTCTAAGCTCTCACTTTAACTCAAATGCTAGATAACACTAGATATATATATATATATATATACTCAAATACTTTTAAAAATTTAGTCAACGTGAGATTGAATTCTCACATATATAACACTTTTTTTTGTTTAAAATTGTCTAACACATATCATATCATGGTATATTTTCAAGTCTTAGTGTGGAATCCTCCTATATCCCACAATGTTTGGTGAAATAGCAATCACGAAATTTGCATCTCATTGCTTGTCACTTCCCAATTCTTGTGATCATTAGGATTTACATTTTCTTTTTCATTTCCTCCATCTTCATCTACGACCACATCCTCTCTTTGGACCTTGTTAAAGTGGAAGCAATCATTTTAGTTGTTGTACGGAGTCTTTCTAGCTGACTACAAAGAAAAAGAAACAATGGGAAAGTAAGAAGGCAAGCTTTTCGTGCGAAAATAATTGAAGAACCTTTTGAGAGGTGGGAGAGTGACGCGAAGTGTTTATTTGGATATGTCATGAGTTGGGTTGCGAGAATCAATTTTTTAGGACGGAGAGAAGACTCTGTTGCACTTATTTCTCGAGATCTTGTCCAACATTTTCAAAAATGAGCTTAATAAGGTAATAAAATGCGAAAAATCCGATAAAATTATTGTGCATTTTAAATCTTTGCCTCTTAATTTTTTATTATTCTTGATAATATTCAAAATATTATCACAAAAATAATTCCGAAGGAGTTGAATAAATTTTCTGTTGGCAGACACATTGAACAGAGAAACAGTAAATTGACAACCCAGGAAGAAACTTCCAAATTATGAGTACTGTTAGGTTTTTTCTTATAAACCAGTAGTTGCACGTGAACTAATTTGACTTATCATTATTATTTGTTTACCTTTAGTTTGTAGTTTTAGTATTCAAGATTGAAGAATTTGAATATGTGTTTGCCAATATGATTTTTATTAAACGGAAAGTATTGAACAAAGACAAAACTCATAGTTTATAACTCCCAAATTTATTACAATAAATTTTTATTTATTACCAAACTAATTTCCAGCATTAATAATACAATTGTAAATGGAAGTCTTTTTGTTACTAAATCAATCAACCAACTAATCTAGCCATAATCTATCTAAAACATAATCCGTACACAAATGCTCAACAAACACAAATACTCAAATTAAATGTTATACCCATCTACCACTTTTTCAAGCAAATGAAAAGCTGTAAAACGAAATGGTTTTGAGCTATTCTTAACAGTTGCTCAAAACAAGAAAGTCACAATAAAACATAGAGTAAAACAATCTGTTGATAATAGCTTAGAAACCACCAGTTTAGAATGGTCTTTAAAGAATGTATTTTTTGTCATTTTAATTCTCATTATATCAATTTTGTCAATTTAGTCCTTAAAGTATTCAATTCGTATTATTTTGGTCCATATGTAGATGGATCATTAGTTTTTGAAGAAATAATCATGTGTTAGGCATGTGATGTCATCTAAAAAAATAACACATTGTCACTTCTGTTAAAAAACTTGACGGATTGTCTGATTAGGGATCAAGTGGCACAGATTGCATACTTTAAGAACTAAATTGACAAAATTAATACAATGAGGACTAAAATGATAAAAAATACATACTTTAAGAACCAAAATGTTATTAACATGAAAGAATTACACTCAACTAATGATGAGATAAACTATGTTTATCTTGGGTGTGGATTCGGGTATGCCTCTCTATGTGAATATGATAGTAATAACGTATAGCTTAGTTGTCTGGTATGCGATGTTTTGTTAGGTGAGCTAAAAAGTTATAAGTCAAATAACAATTAATCCCATAAGGTCATGACTTTTAACTATTGTTTCACCTTATAATACAAGCATCTAATTGTACCATTGGTAGTATTGAAGGAGTTTTTTGGGGGTAATTTAGTTGTTTAAATGCACAGGAGCATAATTAGTCTTATATTGTCTTACAAGGGCAATAAAATATGACTAAATTTAGAATTTGATCAATGTTATTGAGACCTAGTTTGAGAATTTAATCAGGAATTTAATTCAATACAATCATTGTCTTTGTTATGAGTTTCAATATAAGATGAAACTCACTTTCAATACAACAGTTATATTGATTAGGTCCTCAAATTAGATCGCCTAATTAGGTCCAAATAACACTTTCTTTAGAATATTGATTAGTATTTATACAATTTTGGTTATTTATTTGTATTTTTGTTTTATATGTGCAAGAGTTAAGATTCCCCAATCTATACATTTGTCAATTGCCCAAAAACCGCTGTGTTGGTAACCTTGAATGTGCATTATATTTTTCTTCTACTTTGACGATGTCAAATTACACACAAAAAAAAAATCACTTGGATGATCATTAGAGTAATTTTTCAATATGAATAGGTACCAAATAAGAAAGACACATAATTATATTTGTAAAACATGTGCCACGTACAAGAGTTTGTGGGACACTTTTCAATGTGAATCCATATAGTAGACCAACTGCTACAACGTCACTGTATATGCCCACTTCTATCTTATAATAATGAATAATCATCAAGCTGGAAAAGCGTCATATTCCTCCTCCTAATTATTTGAACACGCATCAAGTTTTTTGAAGGTATGGTTTGAAGGTTTTTGATGAGCCTCTGCTTCTCTTCACCTGTCATTTCCATATTATTCTGATCTTTAGCTTTAGGTTTCTTTGCAACCGTTATCCTCAGCAAAATTTGTTGCTTTCTCATGGAACAAGAATGACTATCATGCATTTTTCACTATCCAAAGCCCTCATTTGGATGTATTATGAATTCTAGTAAACCCAAATCTCTATTAATAATTAGAAATACACATAAAACATGTTCCTCTTATTTAAGAATAAATTTAAGCCATGACTAAATCACCTTAGAAGCTCATTATAACCCGGTATAAAAAGAATCATCCAGAAGAAAATGAAATCAGTGTCACAAACAACCTCACCACTAATTTTCAGAATACAAAACATGAATGTATTATACACAATTAAAACATGTACCTCATAGAACAAAATTTGGTTTCCAAAAAATTACTTAACAAGAGTAACTACAAACTCATGCAGAAACAATCTAATGTCCCATTCAAAGTTAGTAATGTTATGAGCACCTTAAACTGAGTGAAGAGTGTAAGACCTCTTGATCTTAAATTCGACAGTGTCAAGTGCTTGCAGAGTATATTCCATTGACACCTCTATTAGTTGGAATTCATCAATATATTAATTATAGACACATCAACTATATCTAGATGTATGTATAAGTCTGAAACAAAATATAATGATCAATCTGATCTTAACAAGAAGTAGTTTAGAGGAAATATAAAAATCTATAAATAACATATCAATACAAAAAGTCACATTCAAAAAAAATTGGGTGCTTACTCATAAGGAACTTGAATAATTGTGAT